GGTAGTTACGACGTGTGGACTGCTAAGAATGTGGTAGTTAAAGCATGTAGCCTGGTGGTAGAAAGTAGTTATAATGATTAAGGCAGCGTCTGGGATCCTCTCAGACGTAGGTTCGAACCCCCGTCACGGCCCTTGTGGATTTGTTGACCTTGTTGACCGTGGATAATAATTTAGCCATAATATTCAAGATTTTCTACCTGGAACAAAAAGTTCCAAGCAGCACGGGCTATGGTGAGCCCGTAGTTCATGGCCCACAGAAAGCGGGGTGTTTTTTTAAAGACGTGTGAATTGCGGTGAATACGGGAGCAATTCGCGGTGTTTTGGGTAGGGAACCCGCGGTTAGTCCAAGTTTCGGTTGTATGGGGAGTTCGCTGAGAACGCATTTGCGGTTTGCGGTAAGTAGGCATTTGCGGTATGTGGGAATTGCGGTCGTTTAGGAACGCGGTTAGCGGTCAATGTAAGCGGTTGGGATGGTTATCTGTGATACTGGTAGGCCCTGGTGCGGTTATTATTGGGTCACAAGATTCCTCTGGGCTCAAAAGGGCCACCATTTACGGGGCTATTCATGCCCATGCCACCTTTTGGGTGGCTTAATCTTCATCAATCAATCAATCAATCCTCTGGGCTTGTTAATTTGAGTAGATGAGTTGAAGGTCTATGGCTATTTTATTAGTAGTATTTTAATTCAGTAGTTACCTATATTCCTAGGCCTATGACTTGTTCATGAGAGTACATTTCTATGTATATTTTGTGTATGTATTCTGAGAGTATACTTTAACCCCTGGACAATGTTCACGACTAAGCCTAACTCGCTGGTAGGCCTATTGTGGTGGTTTAAATAATCCTCCAGAGGTTGATAAGACCTAAACCCAATCACCACCACCATAGTTACTGAAAATCAAAACTCAATTTTTCCGGCTGTTATCGGCTCCAGATAAGGAACCTCCAAGAGGATACCTGATCAACCAGGCTGCGACTCATACGTCAGGCTGCGAGCAGCCGCGTCCAACAGCCTGGTTGATCAGTCCAGCAACCAGGAGGCCTGGTCGACGACCGGGCCGTGGGGACGCAAAGCCCCGGAAGCACCTCAAGGTAACCACCCCCCTCCCACACAGAGTTTCACTCATGTACAACCACCACCACCACTACCACCACTACCACCACTACTACCACTACCACCCACCACCACTACCACTACCATACTCTCCACAGTTCACTAGGCCTGTCCCCCACACACCCATAATGCGCGCCAAGCTGTTGGTATTTACATGTTGTTGTTGTTAAAGATTCGCTCCTCGGGCCAAACAGTTCCAAGTAGCACGGGCTATGGTGATCCCGTAGGTACTAGGTATTTACAAGAGGCTGTAAAACTATTGATCAGATTTAGCTGTCAAACACTTCCACTTTGTAAACAGAGAGAGAGAGAGAGAGAGAGAGAGAGAGAGAGAGAGAGAGAGAGAGAGAGAGAGAGAGAGAGAGAGAGAGAGAGAGAGAGAGAGAGAGAGAGAGAGAGAGAGAGAGAGAGAGAGAGAGAGAGAGAGAGAGAGAGAGTGAGTGAGTGAGTACTCACCTATTTGTACTCACCTATTTGTGCTTGCAGGATCGAGCATTGACTCTTGGATCCCGCCTTTCCAGCTATCGGTTGTTTACAGCAATGACTCCTGTCCCATTTCCCTATCATACTTAGTTTTAAAAGTATGAATAGTATTTGCTTCCACAACCTGTTCCCCAAGTGCATTCCATTTTTCCACTACTCTCACGCTACAAGAAAACTTCCTAACATCTCTGTGACTCATCTGAGTTTCCAGTTTCCACCCATGTCCCCTCGTTCTGTTATTATTACGTGTGAACATTTCATCTATTTCCACTTTGTCAATTCCCCTGAGTATTTTATATGTCCCTATCATATCTCCTCTCTCCCTTCTTTTCTCTAGTGTCGTAAGTCGTGAGTGTGTGTGTGTGTGTGTGTGTGTGTGTGTGTGTGTGTGTGTGTGTGTGTGTGTGTGTGTGTGTGTGGGTGTGTGTGTGTGTGTGTGTGTGTGTGTGTGTACTGTGCATAATGGGCAATATTAGCATATTGTGCATTTTTAGGCATTGGTTAGGTGTTTAAGGTTCTGTTTGCTATTATTTGTAGTACGTACAAGTTCAAATACGTTTATTTGTGAAAATAAAATACATCTCAAAGGGATAGAGTAGTTTAGGCTATTTCTACCTTCTGTAGTACGTGGGTGAAGCATTTACAGCGTTGTGGTTCGAACACAAGTCGTCAGTGAAGCACTTGTTCCGGAAGTGTTCGGACGTCATCAGTTGTGAGTCGTGTGTAAACCGTTTTTCATTCATTAACAGGACGTCTGACGGCTAAATTAACGAGCATTTGGTCTTTGTTGATGAGGACGGGCTGGGATTAACGAGCATTTAGCCTTTTCTGTCGAGGACGGGTTTAGACTTAAAACTGATGACGTTCGAACAGTGCTTCGGTGACCTCCGTTCGAATCACCCTGCAAATGCTCCACCCACGTACACCAAATACAAATAATCGCCAACATAGCTAAAACACCTAACCTAACTAATGCCTAAATATGCACAATAAGCTAATATAAAATAATATTAACTTATATATGAGGAAATTCCAGTTTTAAATGAACAGTTTTGCTAAAATTTATAAATGAGTCTTTGAACCTGAATGAGCCAAGCTTGAAGACGAGTTGCCAGATACTGACATTTACCAACAAAAAACACCAAACTAAACCTAATCGACGCCTAATTATACACTAAAATTCTATAATATATATAGTAATATTAATTTTTATTTTAGGAAAAAAAAACGGGGTTTAAGGTATATTAAAACTTGCGAAAGCGTTTTGGGCGTTGGTAAGCGTTTGAGCTCGTCTGGGCCGTCTGGATGACCCACCAGTCTGAGGACAGGTAGTTTGATGGTAAGGACAATTACCGAGAACATTAAGACAATCGCAAGTGACTTAAGTGTGTCTCTCCATGAAGTGCCGCAAAAAACTTACAAAAGTCAGACATTATTATTTTGAGAAGGGAAAAACAAAAATTGAATTTTGTTAAGTGTTAAGTGATTCCAGATCACGTAAATAGGAATCTGAGCATTATACAATCTTGATTCAGTATAGTGAAGACTGCCAATACTGTAGCTCTTGTTGAAAGTGTTCGGTGGAGTGTTGCAAGGAGATATAAGCTTGATAGTTAGCAATTTGAGAGCCTAATGCATCGTTGCAAAGTTGCATAGCAACAAGGTGAGGAATGTGGAGACAAGTGCACTCGAAGAAACAGCCGAACGAAGACTGCTTCTTAATTAATCGAAGCAATTAATTCGAAACTTCTTAATTAATCGAAGCTTCTTAATTAATCGAAGCTTCTTAATTAATCGAAGCAATTAATTCGAAGCTTCTTAATTAATCGAAGCAATTAATTCGAAGCTTCTTAATTAAGAAGCAATTAATTAGAAGCAATTAGTTAGTTGGCCTTCAAGGCCAACTAACCCCTTC